ACTTGTCTGTGGTGCTTAGGCTAGAAGCCAGCATTTTCACAGTCATAAACCATCTGTGACCGAGAGTTGACCGGTCATAAACTGGGAATATCACCATAAACTGAGGCCTCCCATTCCTTAAGACAGACAACAGACGTCAGGGTTGGTCATAAACGTCAAAGGGCAAAAAGGTTAGATACCTAGGAGCAAGGGAGAATTATTCCCTAACAATTGTTGCTTGTATTTATTAGTTGTTATTTCCCGTCATCTTAATCTGTTCCCAATGGGGATTTCTAAGTAAACCAAAAGCTTAGAAATTGCAATTATACCTCTGTCTTAATTTGGAGTAACTCTTCTCATCCACTTATCAGCTGATCTCTGTTACATATACAAAATAAAAGATCAGATTAGATGCCACTTTTTTGTCATTGCACATGCAGTTTGATAAAGTGTTTGAGGTTCCAGTAGTTTCACATATTGATAACAGTATCACGAGTTGTTGGCAAGGTACAGAAAGTTTTGTATGAATATGAAATTCATATTAACAAATAAGGTTGTTTTCTCCATGTAAATATCCGTATAGGTCCCTGACCCCCGGTTTCCCTTCCTGGGAGTCCACTTCACTCCGAGGATGGACGGGAGTGTTTGGCTCGGTCCGAATGCCGTGCTGGCCTTCAAGAGGGAGGGCTACAAAATTTACGACTTCAACGTCCGGGACTTTGCAGACGCTCTTTCGTTCAGGTACAACATCAACAACATTTGATCTGTTTTTAAATTATATGATTACAGAGATCCTGAGTGTTTATTCTCTCTGTTGTGCAGGGGTCTTCAGAGGCTGGTGATGAAGAACATGGTGTACGGGATGGGGGAAATGTATCGAGGGATTTTCATTGGTGCACAGGTCAAAATCCTGCAGAAGTACATCCCCGAACTCTCGCGGAGTGACGTGCTCAGGTACAAGATAATGCAAGACCTAAGAAATACATGCACACTTCCTTATATTACAGAATCAGGGGTTGATTAACAGGTGCACTTACCTCTGGAGGTAAATCTACCAGCACAATTGAGATCTAGGGCGGCTCGATAATGCCTGTAATCTGTTTTCAAGATTCAAGGCTTTTATTGTCATGTGTACATAGCTACAGTGTAGTTATGACAATGAAAATCTGAGGTCACAGGCTCCTCCAACAGTGCAACACAATAAAACTGATAATAATTCAAGTAAATAAAATAATTGAAAAAAAGGCAGAGTTGGAGAGGAACAAAAGACACAGCAGCCATCTTCACCGGCGCCATCTATCAGTCAATATTCAGATAAGAATTAGCTACCTTTTTATTAATTGACTCTGGAAAACAGTGTGCATTTATATAACTTGTTTGTAAGAAGATAACTAGGATTTCATTCTGTTTCCTGTTTCCTCTGCAGGGGTCCTGCAGGGGTCCGGGCTCAGGCTCTTGACCGAGACGGGAACCTGGTGGACGACTTTGTGTTTGACGGCGGCGTCGGGGAGGTGGGCAGCCGTGTTCTCCACGTGAGAAACGCTCCGTCACCCGCCGCCACCTCGTCACTCGCCATCGCTGAGATGGTGGCCGACGAGGTGGAGAAACGCTTCGATCTGTAGAGCAAGATCACAGAATGAAGAAGAGAGAAAACCAAAAATCCTCCTTATCTTGAAAGAGTGAAAATATTTGTTATCCAACTGTCCCTACCTCAACATCACTGCCATCCTGGAGCCTTTTTTCTCATCACAAGCCTTAATGTGGAGGAGACATTTACATATTTCACATTTTTAAAACAGTTTTTACTTAAGTGTTGTTTTAAGTTGCTTCACATGTTAACTTTACCACTTTTCAATACAAGTGCAGCCTTTAGAACTTGTTAGCCTGCTAACGCTAGCCTGCTAACGCTAGCCTGCCAACACTAACTTGCTAACGCAACAGGTGTTCAGGCAGAAAATAACCAACAGCTTGTAGCTGTTAGTAAGCTGACAACGAGCTGAGCTCCCATGACTCAACACTGTACTTAATTAGCTATTATTCTCTCTTTTTGTTAAGCCAATTACAATTAGCTTTAGCAACATTGTTATTAGCCATTAGCTCTTTTTAGTTAGCCGCTGTTTTACAGTAGCAACGGGCTAGCCTCACGAGCATCCAAGCTAGTGAAATTTGGATAAGAACAATCTTATCAGTTTAATGTTTTAAACATACTTTTTTAAGGAGATTGAGCATTTTAAATGAGGGTTTTTAAAACTATAAATCTTGG